CACGTACATAAAATAGTTGTTCTGTTTAAAATAAATTCAGCATTTCAATCTTACAATTAAGAAACAGCCATTGTGTCATCAATGTCTACAAGCTTTAAATAATTCAATTCTGCATATATGTTTTTGAGCATCTAAAATACATAGCACCAGTACAAATCTCTCCAAAATATTTTGAAGTTTAAAGCTTCTGCTAAACACACGTCTATTCTTGAATAGGGCTGTGCATCGGAACGGGGTACCCGAGTACCCAAGTACCCCACCGTTGATGTCAGGAACCATTTCTAGGTTATGGGATCAGGTACCCATAACCAACTATACAAATTACTTAGTTAATTCTCAGACGATGAAAAAGAAAAGTTTTGAAGTCATTTGTGGGGAATTTTCAAAATGAAAACCAGGCCACATGGGAAAACAAAACATATTTCACATTTATGATGCAGTTTACACAGTAGAGCTATAAAGCTCATTGTACACACTTGTATCTTGCTGTATAGATGTGTCGATGCGGTAGTATTATCGTGCAGACCTTTGTAAACAATCTCAACAGCAACTTCCAAGATTTGAATTTTGGCATGTTTGGCGTTGGGTTTCTTTAACGGGTACCCGGATACCCGTGATTTTTGTTCAATCGAGTACCCGGTTCCTGTACTACCCGTGCATGCACACTCCCATTCTCCAACTCTTCATGAACTGTCTGTAAAAGTTTTTGCTTTCTGTGTATTGTTATTGTAAGGCACTTTGTTCTAACTGTTATTTCATATACATCCACAGTTACAAACAAATTTGTTTTATTTTGTATCAGCCTCTTCAAGTAAATAAAAAGATTTACAGCACATTCAGACCTGATCAACCTCTCATGAATAACAGGGGCAAAAGGAATGCTTTTACTATTTATAATGAGGCTTAATGGCATTCGCTCTTTCACACTCCGCCATTGGGCATGCAGAGCCTCGATCTGGCAAATTTACACAATGAAAATAGCCGGTTCAGTGATCTGAACCCCGACACGGGAATCACTGAACCGGCTATATTTATTGTGTATAACGTTGGCAGATCGAGGCTCTGCATGTCCATGGCGGAAGTGTGAAAAGAGCGAATTGAAAGAATTTCCAACAGTGGAACATAAAAATTTGTGACAAAAATAAAGGGGATTTAGTTCTTGATATTTAGGAGAACATGTAGTTATTTTGTGCACAAGTAATGAGTGTTGCGTTCCAACCACCCCATAATTGGGAATAATATCCCCTTAGTTTGAACTGCTCCCTATCTGAATAAGCAATTAAAGTAATTGGCATTTGAAGGGCAACAAAAACGACCATCTTATAGAAGAAAAACACATTTGACAGGGAAAGAACAGTGGTAGCTAGGAGTGTTACCATAGAAACCTTATTGATTTCTAGGATGTCAGGGTGGCTGCCATGGCAATTTACGCCAAATCAATTCAGTTTATTTGAAGATCATGTGAGCAATTTGGACGGTTGCCTCCCAGCCACTGGAAACTGTGTTCACATCTGAGCAAGCAGGAATAATACTGTCAATGCAATGTAACAGTAAGACAGATATTGCCTGTGCATGTGTCACTATTATTGGAGTAAACACAAGTTACACAACTGTTGCAGTAAAAAAGAATGCAAAAATTGCTCTGGAAAGCCAGGGACAAAATTCTTCTATGATATAATGCAGACTGTATTTGTCTGTCTTTCAGCTCAGTAGTCCCAAGCATACATGTATACATACACTGAATTCTAACTACTTACAGTTTACTTGATTATTGTGGGCTTAAAGAAATAAATCAGTTTTTAAAAAGACTTTTTATAAAAAGGCTATCAGTGCAAACAGAAACAAACAAAAAGTGGTGTGTTTATGAACTGCTTTTAAACCAGTAAATGCTAGTTATTTTAATTTATTGCAAGAATATTTTCTTTCATTTTACTTGGAGAACATGTATGTCTTCTAATTTTTAATTTGAGGTACAAAAAAATTCAAATGTGTAGTGACAGTTATACATGCTTAGCATTGTTCATATTTCACATATATAAATTCCTGGATTTTGTTGTTTTAAAAAAAAAACCTTGTAATGTTTATTTTACATGTGGTAGGCCTATGTGTATACCGGTATATCTGAAATGCTGTTGTCTAAGATGCAGAAACACACAGATATATTTTAACTCCATGTACATGTGTATGTGTATTTTGTATCAAAACAATAAGGCAAGTTCCTGGTTTGACTATGTCTCATTTATTTAGAAAACTGCATGTTGTTACACCAACGTTATTAGTTGGCTGTTTCGGCCATTTGCCGAAACAGCCTTTGTTTTTGATAAGATTTTTTTTTTTTTACTTTTTTTGCTTCATTTTCAGCCATTCCCCATAGCATTTGTACACGTATTCATTGTGGCACTTTGGGCACTAAAGTTAATCCGATTGCCTTTATACTTGGCACACACTAAGGCCAGCACCTGCCAATGTGTGCCAATCATTGACATCATCATGACGTCATCACGAGTCACGGGACACAACATTAAATGTGCATATTTTGAAGGCCAATATTTCCAGAACTACACAGTCAGTGGCCGTGTCACGCACAAAGCCCTGTTTGACCTGAGTTTCTTGTCCCGAGGTCATGTACGCATGGCACAAAAGCCTACACGAGATTTTACGAGACTGTATTCGAGACTAAAAAAAAACACGACAAGTACCTGGATACATGCACTGTTTGGCCAAGATGGCTAGGTTAGTGAAAAGTTGAAATCGTCTGCTTTATTTTGATACCAAATATAACTACCTTTGACAAAAATAAAGTGTTGTTATGATGTGTCAAACAAAAATCATACTTTATAGCAACAAAAGTGAGGGCCGATAGTTTTTTAGGTGTACATTCAATTCTTAAAAAAGGCAAGATTCATTATAGATGATAGTCTACCCTTTGTCGAAATCACCGGTTAATAGTGAAGACTTTTGCAAGATTTCATGATTTGCAATCACATGTACGTGTGTAAGCGTACGTGTGTAAGCATACGTATAACTATAGGCCTGAAAAAATTGTGAATAGCACGCACGAACGTGCAATGAATGACTTACGAATTTTTAGCAGGCCATTTGAGCTCGACCAATCAGTGGGAGTATGGGGTCACAAGGTCATAATGTGTCTGGGTTCCTTGCTCTGTGCTTTTACAATGGTGACGATCTTTTCGTGTTGTGAAATTTAGGAAGTTGTTGGAAACATTAGGTGTACATCTAATTCTTAAAATATTAACAACGCCACGTTCACAAGATTTTTTGTAGATGAAGGTTCATTCTTTCCTTTGATTACCTCAACATTGGGGAGACTTTCGTCGCTATTGAAAAAAATTGGAAATTTCATCACGTAATTTTTAGTTGATTTGTCCGTGAAATAATATCGTCAAAATGCCTCGAAATCCTTTTTTTTGAGAAGAAAATACCTTAACAGATGTATGTAGTAGGTCTTTAACTACCTAAAACACTTTTGTTTGTGTGGATCGGTTGTGGTTTGCCATGAAAATTGCGAATGTTGTAAAGCCCTTTTTACTGCCATCGTTCGCTGGCCTCAAGTTGCTGTCAGTTGTGTGGACAAGAAAAGAGAGCAGCTACGTGTGACACGGCAACTGACTGTACAGGTCCGATTGGGTTGAAAGTTGATATGTACCTAGACCGGGATGTGTTAGCGCCGTCACGATGACGTCATCATGGGTCACGTGACATCACGTCAAAGATTAATAGATTTAATCTTTGAAAATCAATATAAAATCAACCGTGAGAGACCTGCAGGAATTGATAGAATAATCCAAGGATCTCCATTTCATCTCATGCGTACCAAATCACGTGACCCTTCCTTCCGGTCCAAACCGGAAGTGCCTTGTAATTTGAAAGTGTAAAAAGGTGTGAACTTGCTTTCAACGATGTTAGTCTCTGGCTAGGTTGTACTTTACAAAAAAATTACCAGTGACGTCATAAAATGTTAGAGGGCCCTCTAGCGGCAGGTTGAATTTTTTTTTAAATGAATAATCAGTTGATGTGTGTGGCAAAGTTTCCTAAAATCTCTTTATAATTGATGTATATAATCAGCTTCATGCTAAGAACAAGGGGAGAAAGGTTGATGATGTAACCCGACCGGAAGTTACAATATGACTTCACATTAAAGGTCCATTTTAAATCCTATATCTACAGAGCTATTGGCCTTGATCACTCTGCAACTTTCTACTGCACATCCAAGTCCTATCAGTCTATAACATGACATAAAAATACAATAACAAATTGTCGAAACAGCCATGTGTCCAAAAACATAAATCTAGTTTTTATTCTTGTTTCTTCTTTTTCAGCCATTGCCCATAGCATTTGTACACGTTTTCAACATGCACGGCATTTCGGGCACTAAATTCAATCCAATTGCCTTTATACTCGGCACACACTTAGACCAGCACCTGCAGTTGTGCCAAGAATATTGACATCATCATGACGTCATCATGTATCACGTGACGTCACAATATAGGCGCATATTTTGAAGGTCTGTATCTCCAGAACATCAGGTTTGATTGGGTAGAAAGTTGGTATGTACCTAGAACGGGATGTGTAATAGATGAAAATGGAAGTGACGTCATGACGACATCATAACGTGACATGTGACGTCATATTAAAAGTGCAAATTTTGAAGGCTTAATCTACAGAACGACAGGTCCGATTGGGTTGAAAGTCGTTATGTACCTAGACTGGGATGTGTTATACATGTACATGTAGATGAAAATTGAAGTGACGTCAAGAAGACGTCATCACATGACATGAGATTTCATATAAAATGTGCATTTTATAAGCCAATACCTACCAAACTATTGGCACTGATCACTATGAAACTTTCTACTGCACATGTCTGTCTTATTTGTCTATAAGATAACATCAAAATACAACAACGAATTGCTGAAACAGCCATGTGTTTGTCCACAAACATTTAGTTTCACTTGAAATATGGATTTTTGTTATACATGTAAGTTGATGCTTTACTGTGTGATACGGAGGATAAAACACGAGGGAAATGCTTGGGTGGCTGTTTTGCTTGTTGGCAAGTCACAGGGTAACATGGTTTGTGAATTACATGTATCTTCATATTGTGAATATTACAACATTCCTGCATGAAAAGAACAACGCCACATCCTTATTAATTAAATGACACTACACACATCTGGCACTGTTAATGTACAACATAAATAAATTATGTGACTGAATTGAAAAATTGTTTGGACCGTGACCAAGGGAGAGTATACTTTTAGAAAGAAACACATAATTTATACTTGTATTTTGACATGTTTTACATTGGCTTTTTAACAGTTTGGAAGTATTCAAAGTTAAAGTATATCCTTTTGTATATCCTACAGGTTTTTTTGGAGGGGGTGATTTCCTTTTTTTTTCTTGAAATAGTTACCTGGAGAAAAACAACTTGAGATGTAAAAAGAAAAATTTAAAAATGGAATATTGAAAGTACATGTGAAGATTTAAAATGCTGTTCTGAGCCCAGATATATGCTCACCTAAGTACACACATGTTACTTGTGTCTTGAGCTTACTGGTTCCAAGCAGTGTTGCTTGAATATCACAAATGTGTGCTCAACAGTTATTTTCTTGTCAGTATCTCCATGAAATTCAATCCTGATCAAGAACAGATTGCACAAGACAACTTGTGCCTTTTCAATGGTTCATCATGCACATGTCACTACATGTAATATTATTTAATAACATGGTGCCTTGCCATGTACACTCACCACTTGGCAAAACAAAATGTGAATACCGAGCCGAACTACCCAAAGTAGTGTTGACTTTTAGACCCAGTGTATGTCATATGTCAAATTGCCTGTCGCTCCCTCTTCAACCATTGATTGAGGATGTGATTTGTTCATGAACACCCTGACTGAAGCATGACTGACAACTACCCAAATCATGTTGTTGTATCCTCAATTGGAACTTGCATCCATACATTCTGCAAAGAGACAAATAAGTTTGGAAACCACTAGAATGTGTATATTTGCATTATGTTCAACCTTGGCAATTGTACGTGTATCAACTAGAAAGTTGTCAGCAAGAAGGATTTGACAACTTTTTTCCTGAATTGTGCAGTTTATTGGTGGATACTTTTGATGGTTCCCAATTTGAATTTGACTGGGAAAATTGGCAGTCGATTCAAAATGATATCATGAATCAATGCAAAAGTGATGTAGCACCAAAGATTCTAATATTAGGTACTACATCAGTCTGGAATATTTACAGAAATTGTCAAAATTGGTTTCCAATTACTGCCCGGTATCTCTTTAAGAACCCTTTGTATAAAAGTAAACACATGAATCACAAAGCCACGATCAATGCAGTTGCATTCCCTGTGCAAGAGTCGTGTGCACTAATCAGAAATGCTGACTTCTCTTATTCAATCTGAGCTCAAGGCAATAACAATTCACCAGCACCCCAAGATAGGGCAGTGGGTATGAGCTAATAGTTCAATTGCAACAATATTCTAAAATCCTTGAGTGCAATGATGCAAACACTGTGATTAATTGAATATTTTTGTCAGTTTTAGCACTCTTACATCTGACGGCATGGAGCCACTTCGCATAAATTGTGGCTGAGCACAGAAACATTTTGCCTCCAAGAATGCTAGCCAGCCAACATGTGATTCTCAGCTGATTGTTTCTGACATGCAGTATAATACTTACACGGCACAATAATTAGTTTTTAAAATTTCAAGCAATGCTTCTTGATAACCTGGGTCTTTGACAGTGACAAGTAATTAGCATGTTCAGTTGTTGGATTGTATATGTACAAAAACCCAGTATTTGCTTTTACTCAATTTTTACGCATTTATTCGCATCTGCATAAATAACAAGTCAGGTGTGTTTACAAACACAAATGCCCCGCAACCGTGACTGTTCCCATGACATAACATCACTCTTTTAACATCAACTTACATACATGTAAGTTGATGTTAAAAGAGTGGTGTTATGTCATGGGAACAGTACCTTGGTCACATGGAATGTTCATTGACAGCATTAGTGTTTTCTGTAGGTTTTATATGAATTAAACCCTATGATCTCAGAATATGACCTTTCGACCCCCAATGCAATAGGCTTCTTCGGATTACCAAGAACAATCCACAAACCAAATTTGAAGTTCACATGTAAAGTATTTCTCAAGTTATCGCGCTGACAAAATTTCTTTTGTTTTAGCCAATGTGACCTTGACCCTTGACCTTTCGGCCCCAAATGCAACAGGCTTCTTAGGATTACCAAGAACAATACACAAACCAAATTTGAAGTTCATATGTTAAGTATTTCTCATGTTATCGCGCTGACAAGATTTATCCGGACACACACAGCCACCCACCCACCCACCCACCCACGGAAGGACAAGGCGGAAATAGTATGCCCCTTTCGGCTTCGCGGCGGGGCATAAAAAGGAAACAAACGATTTTACTGAAAAGCATTTGTACTGACTTTTGACTTTTTTAGTTTTTGCTAACTATAAGCATTTGCTGCTTTATTTCGTACAAATAAAGAGGAGTGAATGCTTCAGATCTGTATTTACTGATCATTTTTCAAGGTTGGGTTGGGGCTACCGGTGCCTTGAAATATAAAGCAAATACTTTTGTGCAAAATGGCTACATTTATGAAATGTTGATAGCATAAGATTACAAAAGATATGTTCGGAAAGTTCAAGTGATACCACATGCCTTATTTCCAACAACATTCATGCGAGATTTATACCCTTTTAGTCCGGGTGTCAAACCCCAATTTGGAGGTAGACCGTGCATTAGGGTCCTCACAAATGCTTTGGCATTCTCTTGTCATTTAGACCTTGTAGATCAATATTCTGGTGGGTGCCACCTTTGCACCCTTGAACATTTTTTTTAACAATTAATATGCAAATTAGCTTCCGCCATAAGATAAAATAGAAGGTCGCACGCACTTGCTAGATTTTATACATACATGTATACTATGACCCATTTAAACTAAAGTGGTGCTCCGTCCTCCACCATCCCCTTGTCATGTCCACTTCCCCTGCCCCCTTCCCAGAATAAGTATATCAAGCAACAACTTTGTGTGTAAATGAGGCAGCAAAGCCGCCTCGTCCGCTTTGCGGGAGGAAGGGGTGACGGTGATGGATGAAAGGCATGACTACAAACAAACTGTTTACAATTTGAAATGTAAAGAAACCTTGAGTGAAAGTGGTAGTGTATTTGAATATAACTTTGTATTCGTGCATGATTTTGTAGCCATTATGATGTGTATGAGAAACTGGGGACATGACAGTAGCATGGTTGTCCTTGACGGAGAAATTAGAGGCAAAATATGGGACGGGGGGGGGGGGGGGGGGTGGGGGTAGTGGGTTAGTTGTTGAAATCTCTTTATGTGCATGTACACCTAACCAACTCTTCAAGGAATTTGTGGTACAGTTGTTCCTTGGGTATAGTGGGGTTGCAAAACACGGAGGACGGATGAGTTCCCCATGAGCTGATTTAGGGTATGTGTTGCCTACAATGTAGTTCATGGTGCTGCACAATTTACAGTCAGTCTTCAGGAGGCCCTTTTTTCTATTTCATGAAAGTGGAGGTCTTGAAAGTAGAGTGGATGTCTTGAAAATAGAGGGGGCTCCTGATTTTGTTAACCCTAACAGAACTGAACCCATCAAACCCCAACAGCATGTTTTGTTGGAATCTGTCAAAATGGTACAGTAACCCTAAACTGACAGTCCTTTACATGTACATTGGATTGGCACACCTCCAGAATCAAAGTCAGAAATATGTGTAGTAAATCATGCTAGGGCCTTTACAGGGTTTAGCAGAAGTTTGAGGTAGATCCACCCACCTTGTGTGGGTGTCCACTGCTGTTCATGGTTATTTGCTACAGATAAGGACTGGACAGTGCCTCGCATATTGTATTGCCATTGATGCCTGTGTTGGCATGTCATGTGAATGCATGTTTATGGTGTAAATCGAGGACACACACGTGCAACATCATTCATGAATTGAGGACAGAAACCGAATCGAGGGCTCCTCGGTTGGAAAACGTGTACAAAACCAATGACAACCGTTGCGAAAAAGTTTGAGTACAAACAAAGGAAAAGGGAAGAGGAACATCAGAAAATCCTTGATTTACACCATAAACAAACATGCATGTATGTGTTCTACATAACCCCACGAGGACCAACACACAAAGGGAGAACAACAGATCCTTTCAGTCCTCGGGAGTTGGGTCTTTTGTTCAAAACGGTCCTCTGTAGTAGGTTTGTGTGCTTAGTCTATGGGAGAGTGTTATATAACAGGGACAAAGGGAAACACAAAGCATTGTCCTTGAGAGTATAGTAAAACACGACTGGGTGCATGGGCAGTGTATTGCATCGTGCAGTGTGTTGGCATGGGCGATCTGAACAACTCGTGAACGTACGCACAGGTATGTTTATGGTGTAAATCAATGATTTTCTATTGTTCCTCTTCCCTTTTCCTTTGCAACAGTCCTCATTGGTTTTGTACACGTTTTCTAATTGAGGTCGTCCTCGATTTGGTTCCTGTCCTCAATTCATCGATGATGTTGCACGTGTGTGTCCTCGATTTACACCATGCACAAGCACACACATCAGTGTGTATTTGCCTGCAATCGGGGACCCCATATTGTCTTTTGTTGGTACTTTAACTTTTTAGGAAGACCTCCCATATGTTTTGTACGGATCACCAAATTATTATTATTAATGGTTTATTAAAATCTGTTCATTGCAGCCAGCAGGCTGAATTATGATACAGATGAACATTAAGCAATAAAAATTACATCAAAATATTTATACAATTGAGGCATTAAAATTAAGTGTTAAAAAAGTAAACCAATGAACCAACCAACAGGAAAAGAGAGAGAGAAAAAAAACACATTACGCAGAAAAACAGAACAAGACAAACTTAGCACACACACACACACAAAAAACCAAACTAGGTTACAAACCAGGAACAAAAAACAAACAAACAAGCACGAATGTAATCAAAGAAAAAAATAGCACACACACACACACACACACAAAACACAAAACAAACAAAAAGAAAAACAAACAAGCAAACAAACAAATAAAACAAGCCAAAACAAAAAACACCCCAACAAACACCCCAACACCCCAAACAAACAAACACCCCTCCCCAAAATGCAAAACGTGAGATTAAGACAGACAATTGAGAAACAGTTCAAACAAATGGAGCAGACTGGGACATAACATTTAAAAAAAAGAAAGGGGCAAGAGAGAATCAGTAAAAACACACAAACCAGGCATAAAAAGGGTTTTAAAAAACAGGGGCCAGTGAGCAGAACGTTTACAAAAACAGCATGAAAAAGGCCTACTTTACATGTTCAAAATGTTGGTCAGGTAAGGAATCGGGCTAGTTTTGTATCAAAGAGTCTGAAATGGGGGACCTTTGGGAATTGAGGACCCTATTGTCCTCTATTGTTCAACGTCCCCTATTGAATGCAGAAACAAACTCATACACACACACATAGGATAGTGGGGATGCCAATGTAACATCCATGTCACAACCAGGTAAATTAGTTGGCCATGACAACACCATAGCTACATGTAATCTAATTGCACATACCTCACGCATGTGGCAAGTCCAGCGTAGCATTGATTCATCATCGCCATAGAAACCGGCACAGCTAACAATGGCAGGCTCCCCATCTTCCAAACTACCGTAGAAAATTAACAAGAGATAATTAACCAAGGGCTGCCAGGAATTGAGATCCACAGAAAAAGCATTCTCCCTGGTCTCATTTGACAACGCTAAACGTCTACATTTACATGTACAGGTTGGCAATTTTAGTTTATTAAAAAGGTTGGCATTTATCAGCATGCATTTTAAAATCAGAAAGATTAATTAAGTTAATCAACATCATAAATATTGATGCTTTGTGTAAACCGTGCCACCTGTGGAGTCATGCCAGTTAATTGGTTTCATCCCCAACCACATTGATACATGTTCAGACAGTGCAGAATGGAGCAATTTGCTTTCCCTAGTTCAAGTCTTAAAGGCATTACCAATCAACGGTGAACCCAAAAGAACATCATTATTTGTTGGATTGATAAAATGTTCCCATTTTGGTGATGGCTTCAAATAATGGAAAAAAATTGACTTTTTTAGAGTCAATTGTTAAAACTATAAAATGATACAGATGACATTGTCATCAACTACATCCATCTTTGTGTTCATTCCACATCTTTGTGAAATGACTTTTGTGAAAGAGCTGTTCATTTTTTTTTTTTTGGAGGGGGGCGGGGGACTTGTGAAATTTTCTGTTAAATCCATTTATCAAAATGAATAAAATGTATCTGAATAAATGTAACTAAGCCACAAAACATTTAAAATTGAATAACAATTTTTGTCATTTAAAATTGAATAGCAATATACATGTGTACATGTATATTCTGTTGTGTACAGTTCTAAATGCGCCTGGGCAATTCCACAGGTTGATGGACATGGCTTGGAAAAAAATAGATTTTTTAACCCAGTTTCTCATTTTTATTACAGATTATACATCCAAGTGTGTGAAATTAACAAAGAAAACCCGATTTTATCAAAAGATTTTTTGAGAAATCTTGTCGTGAAGTGAAGAATAATTTGTGACTACAAAGAAATCTAAAAATTTGGTAATTCAATCATAACCTTATTTCTAGCCTGTATGATAGTCTTAATATCCAAAAATATGTCAATTCACTGCCGTCATCTATTTTTAAATATCAAAAAGTAGCGTTTTATACCTTTTTTGGTAATGTGACTAATTGAAAAGATGTAGAATTTTTTTCTCACCAACATTTGTAATGAATTAAATTTTGGTATTTAGGATTTTCTTCCTTCTCATGAACATTGACATACATGTAAATAAGCGTTTTGTTCAAACTAATACACACATTTTAGAATAAAAGGCAACTAAGTTTGGTAACGTGAGTAACTATTGTAACGTGAGTAACCAAAAATGTAACATGAGTAACCAAGTTTGTTTTCCCAAGTCACCCAAACTATACCCAAACTGACTTTTGCTTGATAATGTTGCATTTTATTGATAACTGTTTATCTTAAACCAAAGAACTTCAAGCATTAATACTTTTAAGCATATTTTATGCCGTTTATGGTGCAAATTGGTCCTTGAGACAGCTTCAATACATAAAATAATATCATATAAATTTCATTGAATCCAGGTTAAGTATTTTTATCAAATCTTGATGTAATAAGGCAGACACCTGTACTTCCCTACATTGAAATTAAAATGTTTATGTGGAACAAAAGTTAAATTAAGCTACCCGGCACAATGGTATACCCTGGAACCCATTCTCCATATCATGGTCTCTGATAGTGTGGCCTTTTGCATGGACCCTATATTCTGGCTATAGTGGCATGCACGTGTACATGACCTTTTAACAGACTCTCTGAACCTGAGAGGTTTGTATCTACATGTATCTGTTGATTCTGTTCTGATGGTTCAGCATCTTTAGTTAAAAAAAAACCTAACTTACAGCTGAACTTAAGAGGAAACATTAAATTCCTGATTGGGGATCAGTATGCACTGTAATAGTATCAGAATAATACTGAAAACCTCAGAGTAGTACTTGCCATTGGTGAGTTAAAATGCAAATGGAAGTCAGGTTTGTAGTAGTTCTAATGCCTATTGGGTGGAAACAGACTAAGTTTGATACTTTAGTAAAATAAAAATTATGGCATGTAATTCTGAGATGGGTCGGACAAAATGTAACGTGAGTAACCGTAACGTGAGTAACCATGTTTTTTTGTGGATTCCAAAAAAATTAAAGATACTAGAGGATTTGTTTTACTCTTATTGTGTGTGCCCCATGGCGTGGTCTTTTATCCATGTTGGCATGTTGGCTTTTTATGCAAATGCGGAAATGTAACATGAGTAGCCGATATTGTGTGTCTTGTACTCTTGTGTATCATACATAACACATATTTCTGGATGTCATCTTTGGTGCTTAGGTAGGTCTAGGTCTACTCTATCTACCATGGGGATAACAGTTATTAAACCTTTTCGGTATTAAGTAATTACAGCCCAAGGAAACTCAAAGGTACATCAAAAACGTAACGTAAACTGTTTCTGAGTAACCGTGGAATTGCCCGCCTAGTGACTCTGATGACTCAAATTGAACTGTTCATTCATTGCTGGTGGTGATTGGTACACGCAGTATCTCTACATTTCTTGTACACTGAAGTTATCATTGATGCATTTTCTAGACCATAACCAGACACGTGTTTTTGCCTTTGTCAATGTTTGAGCTATTTTAGTTTTTTACACTTTTTGTTTCAATGATATCATTTTTTCTGACCACTAAATCAAAGGTTGCTGTTGTTAAGATTGCTGTTGGTAAAAAAGTGAAGTGAAGCAGAGGATTTTGTTTTGCTATAAAAAATATCATGAAAATTAAGTGTTGGCTTTTATTATTTCAATTAGTTAACTGAGTCAAAAAAGGGAACAAGTATAAGAAAGTAACTTGCAGTGGACATCATCTCTCAGTAGAAGAATTGTCTGCATGTTCTGCATGAGTAATGTTAAGGAAATGAAACCAGATGCATATAACCATAAATTATTACATTGGTGATCATCATTTTAATTTCACACAAATATGTTGAAGTTTTGGTGCCAGATGGAAACACTTTATGAATAAGAAGTACTACATGAAGAAGCTTTTATATGTCTGTACGAAGGTAATTTTAAAGACAGGTACCAATCCCATCAAAAGTGGCCCAATGGGGTTAATGCCACAGATTTAGTGAAGTACAAAGAACGTGCCATGGTTATAAATATGGTGTTAATTTTGTTTACTTCATCAGCTTCTGACTTTTTTTATCATTTAGAAATTTCTTATGCTTTTTTACCAGTGTATTTTTATTCATTAAGTAGTGTGATTTATATAATGTACAGATTATAATTATATTTTAAGTTATGTCATCTTCTTATGTGTAGACTGCTGTTTGTATTGCTTTTCCTCTATGATTTTACACCAGGACAAGAATTTCATGTCTGCTTTTAACTTACATGACAAATAAAATATGAATATGAATATGACTATGAATGGACTAATCCTAATTATTTCTATATAACAGATTTCTGATTATGACATACATGTAGTTACAAATAAACTCAGGACATTTTACCAGGCCTCAATAAACATATGCATGCCACTTTGCAAACCATTCAAAAAAATATACATTACTTCTGCAGATTTGAATCTGTTTTCCTTTTAATTAAATTGAGAAGCAAATGAAAACTTAACTTGTCACTTGATTTTCTCAACATTCTTCGCACATGTCACACAAGGGTTAAACAAGCTTCATAGATTGGTTTGCAAAGTCTTATCCTGACCAATAGTCCCTGCCCACTGCGCATGTGGGCATTTATCACATGGTCTTCTCCATTGCCACAAAGCATGTTCCAGCTGCGCACATTGTATGTGCGTGCAGGCATGTCGGCCATTTGTGGATGCAATGTTGGACGTAAGTCACAGCTGAGATTGGTCAGAGCACCATGGGGCTGGGCTTAATGCATCGCTCTATTAAAGGAATGTACAACATTTGCTTTTGCTCCATTTTTTAGAAATAAATGAATTTGGAGGATAAGTATGTTACAGCAAATATTGTTAAATGACTTGTTTCACATTTTGGGCTTGTAGATGCTGGAAGAACAAAGAAAACCATTTATGTTCTTGTAGTCTGCTTCCCTGACCCCACTTAAGATGAAACGGAAAATTTATAGACTTTGGGGAATTGTAAGGTCAGCGAATCAGTCTAGCAGGCTTGTACCCCTCCACAGGTGTGTAATCAATTGTAGAGAGTTTTTGCAGTTTTTGCAGCAAAGAGTTTGCAAGCAGTTTTTGAAAAAAGCCAGTTTTATTCAACGCTGGTCGGCCGACCAGCGTTGAAAAAATACCATTTTTCTTCAAAATGTCAGCACCCCAGGAGCCACGATTTTACAGGATGCTTTAGACTGTCATTCCCTAACAATCCAGTAAGGTATTTTGTGATAATTTGATCATTTCATTTTGTAATGTTTGCAAATGTTGTATCTTCCCTTTAAGTGCATGTACATATGAAGGTTTTCCAAACCAAATATTGTATACTGAATCAATGATGAAACACTGTGTTTCATGTGTCCATGTATTTGCTCAAGGAAAAGCCAAGGTGGAGCAATGGGTGGTTAAAATGAACAAACTGACAGACTGGTCATAGTGTATTCTTCCTAGCCTCAGTGGCGCACCCGGGGGGTGGGGGGAGGCCCTGGGGGGGCTTGAGCCCCCCCCCCCAAGAGGTTGTCAATTTTTGTTTAGTCCCATGATTTGACCTCGGTGATATGAATGTGACCTTGGGTGATATGAATTTTCGAGTAGTATAATAGGGGTGTAAATGGCGCCACCAATGTCAAAATAGGCGCCCCCCAAAAAGTTTTTGAAGAAAAATTAACTTCTAAAAAATTTGGGAAAAAAATGTGAGCCCCCCCTGTGTGCGCGCCACTGACAAGCCACTATTGTCGACTTGATGCCTGCTCCTCAAGCAAAGTTGCACACGGACTGACATTGATTTGTCTTCCCAGGGCTCACTCTGAGAGAAAAAATATCATTTATAACTATGTAAATATGGGTACAGTGTCGATATATGCACAAGAAGGGTAAACTGAAATATCAAGGACTAAACCTAAAATTTGAACTAATAAAAAAATTTGGGATGAAATATGGACCCTAAAATCACTCTGTTTTGCAATTAAGTGGCAGGATCATCTTTCCGAATGGCGATTGGCTTCAGGACTACTTATAGGGGTTATTATCTTTGGAGGGAAATATCACCCAAAAGTAATAAGATACTAACTGAGGCCACGTCCGAATGACTTGGTTATGGCTAGATATAACACACGGGTCTATGGGAAGTGACTGCAGAAGCTTCCCATAGACCCGTGTGTATTTTCCAGCCGCAGCCAAGTCATTCGGACACAGCCTTACTTTATTTTATGCTCTGTACATTAGGGTCATTCATTTAAAATGTGACATTCATCAAAGGTGGTTAATTGACTGTACATTACAACAGAGAGGCTAGTTGGGTTAGAAATGTCAGGAGGAAATGAGAACTATGTGTAGCACCACACTTTGATCACTGACCTACATTTAACCAACACTTTTCACAGTGTGATAGTCAAATAAAAGAATTGTGAAACAATACAAGACACTGTGGAAAAAATAGTTGTTGAAGCAAGTTGCCTGTCACGATCATGTGGCATTCACAGTGATCTATACAAGACTGTTTCTATGCTGGCAAAAATGATAGCCAAACCATTTTTTATTTATAGGACATTTATAACTTGGGTTCAACATTTAGCATTATTTTGTGAGGAGTATGTGTTTGTACTGGAATATGAGATCTGAGGTTGACAATATAGATGCACAGTACACAAAGACTACATATGTTGAATGGATTCCTACCAGTGTATAAAATAGTCAATTGTTCCCTTTTCAATTGTAGTTTCATCTACTGGACAGGCTGATTTATATTGAGTGTTTGCTAATTTCATATTTCTCTTTCAGCCAGCATACATTCTCAATGCATGTCAGCCAAATGTCAATTGGTACTGCATGTATTTATCAGTCCTGTATCCCCCAATTTTAATGATTTTTTCACACCCCTTGGGAGTGAGGGCAAATTATAATAGATGCCACCAATGGAAGTTTCAATAAACCATCATAACTTCATCATTTAAGAAAACTGTTCCTTGTGTTTGTCCCACTCCCTTTTCAAAATGTATGCGCATGGCATTTCGGGTTCTTGGCTTTTCAATTTTGAAGGGGGTGGGGGTCTTCAGAAAGGCTTCTTCAGAAAGGCAGCATTCATTTTTACAAAGAGGTTTTTCAAATAATTACCCCTTAAAATGTGAAAAAGTGGTGGGTAGCCGTGTTAGTCAGATAATAGCCAAAAAAACCCGAATGTAGCACTTTAATGACTAACTAAAGAAAAATTTGTGCATAAGCTTTCGTAGCAACAACTACTTCATCAGATGCAATGAAGAAAACAACTTCAACCAAGGTTTATATACAGTCTAGTACAATCTAAACAAAGGATGGTAACAAGTCAGTGCTGTAGTGTGACAAAAAGCCACGATCTCTATTGAGCCAGTGTGAATAACCAATACAGTGATCAATAACAAGAACATTACCAACTTATCTCTGTGGGCATTGTTAGATTGTGGGTAATGAGCACATGTACTCACCTTGTTAACACAAGACAGCGGACCTGATAATCAGAGATCTTTCTCTTAGCTTCAATGTTAAGTTCATATCGTGGATGGACTTCAATCTCAGATGCATCAAACAATGGTGGTCTGGGTCTGGATGCATACTGGGTGTAGACATCTCCTATTGAGTCTCTAGACAAGAGTGACTGTGGTCGTAATACCGTGGACTCAGCATCTACAAGTGACATCAGGGACATGGTTGAGGTACTGGGCTCTGAGGTTTCATTCAGACAGATCTTGGACCCACGTCGAGTCTCATCCCGGAGTTCCCGGCTGTAGCGGTACTGCTTGGACTTTGACGTTGTTGTCCCTAGGGTGAGCTTCCCAAACACAGATTGGACCTTCTCCATGGTTTTGGAGCTTCGGGGGGACAGCTCTTCTTCTTGCCGTTCCACAGAGGTGGAGGATTTCTGGCGGGCCTGCCACATCTTACGCAGTGCACGGGGGTTGTTGTGACCCTTACGGCTGCCCTTGCGGAGCTTTCGCACAGCCTTGGGCCCAGCCTTAGGCTTATGCTCATCATCGCTGCTGGTGATGGTCCCAGGCATGTCTTGTACCTTGGCAAGATGAGGCAGATGTGATCTGGTACTGGTATCAGTGTCACTACCAGGCTGAGACTCTGGCAACCCTTTGGACGATACCACGACAACGAACTCCTTCAATGTTTGAGAGGAGGTGTTCTGTGGTTTCACATCATCTTCATCATCACTCACAACATCATCTCCAACAGCCTCAGCTCTCTCAGCCTCAGGTCCTTCTTTTGCTGCCTCATTATTCAAGTCTTTATCTGATTCTTCAGAATTCTCCATTTGGTTATGGTCTCCATTTTCCAGAGTTAAACAAGATTCTGGCCCAACAACTTTGACAGTTGTGTAGATGGTTAAGTGGCCATCAGCTGTGCCCACCCACAGGGTGTTTTTATAGGTAAGAAGTGAGGTGATCTTGGACTTGGCAAGGCTTTCATGGGGCTGGGGGAAAACATAGGAGAGATAGGAAAACAAATCAAGAGAACCACAAGATGGTTAAGAAAAAATATAACATTGACAGGGATTTATGTACATCACGATGGCATCATCATGTGACTTTTTCAGCATTTCTCATAAACAAAACATGCTCAATTCAAAAGTCATTTTATTAACATGGACAAAGTTGTGTCACGTTGGGTAACATCAACAAAAAAGCATTTATACATACACATATACATTTTCAAAGTCCTATATCAAGAGAAATACCAACCCTGATTGGGTTGAACTTCATCTACATGTTCATAATAAGGGAATAAATGTGTGCTCCGGAGGTTTTTATCACTCGTTTAATACCGCTTAGAGTCTGGGTGCTGATAATTACCCGAGCCGGAGGCGAGGGTAATTATCAGCACCCAGACTCTAAGCGGTATTAAACAGAGTGATAAATACCGACCGAGCACATATTTATTCCCATTCATACATACCTTATCCGTAAAAAAAAAATCAAATAATTCGTTCAAAAATCCCGGTTTTGTTCAACAAGTTCACTTCTTGCTTTTTGAAACATCCCTCTAGCAAAATAATGGAGTGTTCAGCTGGCAAGTAAGATGTAAACAACCCTTTTATGGAGATTGACGCGCGCGTAGCATGTTCTGCGCGATGTCACGCAGAACGCACCTGGGGCGTTGCGTTTTGAACTTAGAACTATAAAATTCTGACTCGCTTGTAGTGTTGCGCATGCCTACGTGAGGATTGTGAACGTTCAACCAATGAAACGGTAAGAGGCACTGGATTTTTAGGAGTCCACATTTTATGTGACACTGAAAAAGTGTTTAAGACCAGCTAGCCATGTCTTTATCATCCGTTTAAGACCGGCCACGTGACGGGCTCTCGACCAATAGGAATAGCTAAACTGTCTGAGGTATTTATGAATAGGCTGTTATATGTTAACTAATCTTATGTTTTAAAGCTTTGTCTACCTTTAAATTATAGCTGGCAAACAAATCATACTAAATTCAAAACTGTGTTTGTGTCATAGAACATAAAGATGTGAACAGATGTTATCATGAAATTATCATTTTTTTTATCTTTTATTTTCTTATTGTTGTAATCAAATTTATTTCCAAATTGAAATCTAGGCTAGAGACTAAATAAAACAGTGTTTTGTTATCACTTGGTAATACTGAGCAAATTCATTCCAAAATGTTAACGTATGTACACTTCACAAAACTATGATCGTAAGTATCAATCTCGTTAATACATAAACAACATAGCGGACTATTTACAATTTTCCATTTATATAATAAGTTTTAAGTTGGTGGTATACGGTGTAGAAATTTGTAATTAAATTTTCTTAACTTAGCTTCTTTTATATCGATAGTTTTTTTGTTTCCACACAGAATTCCACTGTATTTCTTCATTTGTGACTAACTGGCGTTTTACTTTTTTCATCAATTAAAACCTTGTATATTTCTTAAGTTGTAATATTTTCTAAACTGCTAAAGGCACCATCAAAGGGAGTTTTGTTTTTATTATTTGCTAGGATTATTAACCATTCTTCTAGCATAGCCACCTTTAATGTATATATTTCTGCTAACCAGTTATGTTTCTTAACTAGTTTGTCTCTTATGTAACTTAGTAGACAGTTCACCATTTTCAGTCAGAAGGTCATTAAGGCCAAAAAAAAAAGTCTCCGGTTTCTGGTATGCGCGCGCGTCGCCGTAGCCATGCGTGTCAGCAAAATGAAAAAGTTTTTTTCAATGAAAGATGATGTCTCAAAACCGCCAAACTCACTGGTTTGACAGGAATCCTGCTGCTGCACAATTTTCACGTGTTTTTAGATGGGGTTCGATCGAGAATAAGCTTTATGTGGCCTCTCTTGGCTCCCATATATTTGCACTAAGTTTAGTCGGGCACCATTTGCAGTCATCAGCCGACATTTGAAGAAAAAAAAGGTAAAAAAAAAAAAAAAGCCACTTCGCTGCACCACTTTTGGGCAAGATCCATGCCAGAAACTGGAAACTTTTTTATTTGGCCTAACGTAAATGATGTTGGATTTGATCCAGTTGCTTGTTTTTTATACTTAATGTAATTATTACCCCACAGTATTTGTGCTTTTATATCAGTTGGCTGTAAATTTATGTTTACTTACAATCTTTGTTGAGTTCAGTTCCTGCCAACAGAATATTAACTCTTTATAAAATTGTGGAAGGTTTCATGTAATACGAGAACAGCACTCTGCTTTTTTAAAATTCATATTGAGGACTGAAAGGATTTTTCATTTGCCCATCTTTTTGTTTAACAATTTCAATATCCAGTTACATTCCAGTGCTATATTATGAGATTGGAAGTCGGTTAGGTTAAGACCGCCTTCGTTTCAATTGACCTATCGCCGTTTGCGAGTTAGCAACGCCCCTTAGACAACCCTATGGAGTTTTTGTGCACTAATTTTTGTTTGTCTCAGATTTTGCGCATTCTGCTTCTGTTTGTATATCATGTAATTGGACAATATTTCACAAGCTGCGTTGACACGATTCTACCGCAATAGGTCAATTGCAAATCATTGTTTTCATTGGAATTTTGTCTTTTTTGCCCTTTCGGATAAAAGGAAACATTAAGTTATCTGTTTTCGAAACATACTTTTGTGGGGTTGGAAAAACAGATACTAAAACGGTAAATATTGGTATTGCCAGACTTTTACAATTGTTACTCTTCCTGGTAATGTCAGATGCCTTCTTTTCCATTGATTAATTAAGTTCGCACAATTTATCACCTTTTCTTCCCAAATTAATTCATAACATTCATTCATATTATTTCCAAAATAGACGCCTAATGTTTTAATTGGTTCCTGCTGCCAATTTACAATTTCTTAAAAGTTTTGCTCCAGATCTATGTTATCAATAATTATTCCTTATGTTTTGCGGACATCAAGTTTGGTCCCGCAATTTTTCCAAAATTTGTCACAATATTGATGGCATTTGTAATTGATTGCACAATCAGATAAAAAAGAGTTGTATCATCTGCGTACATCGAAATATGCAAATCTTTTTGGTTGGTTAATTTAATCCCATTAATTTCTTGGTTCATTCTTATTCTATTTGCAAGAACTTCTGCAATGATAAGGAATAACAATGCAGAGAGAGAACACCCTTGCCTTAGGCCTCGATTCAAAGTGAACAATTGAGACATATGGCCCTCGTTAATTATTGTACTTTGAATATTTGTTTACATTGTTTGGAACCACTTTATAAAACTATCTCCAAAATTGAATTTTATAAGCGTTTTGAATAGAGAGTACAGTGTCAAAAGGCTTTTATAGTCCAAGAAGAGAACTGCCGTATTTTTTCCTTTATTTTACATCCTTTGATGTAACTGGACTGATCTTCTTGACTGATGTTTCCTATTACACTTGATAAACAATTTGCTAAGGCTTTGGCAGCTGTTTTGTAATCAATGTTTAAAAGACTAATAGGTCGCCAGTTTTTTAAATTGGTTCAATCGCCTTTCTTTTACAAAAGTGAAATTAAAGCATGGTGTTAAGATATAGGGAGTTCTCCTTCTTTATAACTTCTATTCATTGAACCTGTGAAGAGGAATTAATTTTTTTCCACAAAAACTTGATAAAATTCTACGGTTAGACCATCTACACCTGGGCTTTTTAATTTTTTAATGCTTTGGTATATTCTGCTTCAGTGAGTAATGAAATCATCATGTTACCGTACATAACATTTAATACAAGGTCTGATAGTCATTTAACTTGTACATAGAGTATGATGCTAAAATGCAACATACTTGTGCAGCACTGTGCTTTTCCAGGAGCTTGCATCAGGCGAAAAGCAAAGGGCACCCTCTTGTAAAAGCACAACGTTTTTTTCTTCTGCAGTTGATTACAGAAACTTCCCATAAATAATCAGATCTCATCAGCCTTTGATATCCCTTGTTTTATTCAAGTTATATCATGTCTGAATTTTCAGAGGAACCCTTGACTCAGGTCCAGAAATCAGACTTTAGTAAAAGGAGCATTGGAAAGACTTTTACAATTTTTCAGAAGGTAGGTCCAAGTAATGTTTACGTTAGATATGACCTGAATCCCTTGGGGTTTAATGCACAGTTCTGGATTGAGAGGTTCAGTCGAGACTCTTTGTAAACAATGCCCAAGGACTTGTGTACAAATAACTTCCTATTCTCTGGTGTTACCTTGGTGAAGATTGGCGTTTGGTCTGTGGAGGTATCGTGAAGTAGAACACACTGCAGCTGCTCTTCATCCCACAACATTGCAATAGCTGAGCCACGGACAGTAACCCAGACCCCATGATCACCGAGGTACAGCCCAGAGATGTGGATATCAGGACTCTTGGAAATCTCAAAACCATCCTTGGCATTCAAAGAACTGAAATCAATCAATTAAGCATTTTCAATTTGGAGAAAAAGATGTTAGATTTGTAGAAACCATGTAGATATATCTTTTTTATGACTCTGTCGTCTTCACAGATTGAAAGTGAAGACTGAGGTAGCATACTGTTTAAAATGCCGAGTTACCAAACTCGTTCTTCTTAGAACCACACAAAGTCACAAAAGAGATATATCTACACAGCGCCACCAAAAACCTAACATGTATTGACTTCCCACCCTACTAGCGTTCAAGTCTTAGGCTGAATCCGAATCAACTGTCTAGAGCTAGGTCTAGGTCAACGCCCATTGAAAATACGTGGGGACGCGCTGACAATAGACGTAGCCGTAGCTCTGGAAGCCCGTTTCGGACACGGCCTTACTCAACTTTGAGCAAGTTCTGTTACATGATAAGGTAAACCATAGTTGGATTGTCTTGACTAGAATGCATGGTGGTTGGACTACGCTGACTGACTATTTGGAACTGACACCCAGAGGGATGGTTGCATGGCTGGTTCCAGGGGCGGATCCAGGTATTTTTGCATGGGGGAATTTTCATCAGCAAAAAATTCTGAAAATGTAGACAGGGTTTTTTCTCCAGACACTTGGTCTCCGTAAAATCAAAAACTGGGGGGGGGGGGATGCTGTTTAATAGGGGATGCTGTTCAAGTCTGACGAATATTAACACTAGATTACAGAATGGTGTACAAATGCCCCCTTTCTAAGCTGCCTCTGTCTGTATTTTGAACAGGTGGACATGATACCTGTATAATTTTTTGGGGGGTGTCAAAGCAGGGGGGGGGGGGGTTCGCATTTTCTAGGAAGTTCTATGGGAAATTTTTTTTTTGACAGAGCTGGGGGTTTTATTTTTTACATATTATTTTCACACATGGGAAACAACACATGCCACACTGCATGACAGACACACACATCATACGCAAGTGCATGCATGTATCAGACATTTGTCTGAAAATGAACCATGGTTGTGACTGGTCAAAGCATCATGGACTGGTCTATTATTGGGTCAGACACTGCCGTCAAGAGTTTCAGCACAAAGACTATGCATTGTGCACACTGACTTGTTGAGGATGCTGACAGCGTTACCACAGGCACACCATATCTTGTCCAGCTTAGGGAGGTAGAGAACGCTGCGTATTGGGCTGGCACCGATGGCGTGATAGAAGACATCCCGTGGACTGGCATGGCTCACACCCTACAAGTTACCAACACAAATGTCATGGCACAAAATCAGAAAGTCTTATCCTAGAGTTGCTCATCCTGTGCTCTTTAACAAATTGACTTTTTCTGCTTACAACTGTTTAATGTCTATGTTACATTTTAAAGTATGTTTCTTCTTTTTTGTCATTTAGAGTCTGCAACCTTCAGAAAAAGACTTTTATTTTGGGTTGCTAACATAGCACAAGATCAGCGTCAATTATTTTCGGGCTGGTAATAATTTAGTTCTGCAAAACACTTATTCAGAGAGCACATTTTTTTCAATCAATGTCCCAATTAAAATTGAACAATTTGTATTTACAAATAGTGATTAAAAAAACAAGTATTTGTCAAGGTGAAGCTTGGGAAGAGCAACAAGACTTTCTAACTCAAAGGAAATGGCTACAAATAACCGAATCCCATTTTCACCATGTATTTTAACTTCCACAGGAAATCCAACAATATTTTTACTCAAGAGGACAGATGGGGGGGGGGGGGGGGGGGTTCTGATTTGTTTATTACTTCGGTTGGGGGGGGAGAGATCCAAAATCTAAACTGCAACATTATTGAAGAAAATTGTGCATTACGTTTTTTGTTTGGGGAGACCAGGGGATGGACATTTCTGGTTAAATTCTATGAAATCTCTGGGATAAATACTTGAAGATTGTGTAAACCCTGTAACTTCCATTTAAAACATTACAAAATGAATTTCTCTTGAAATTATTGTTGCTACACAAAACATTTCAAGTATGTGTTCTTTAACACAAATCTCAGCGATGGCTGATTACTAAAAAAAAAATGACTACATCACAGATATTGCACGCATGTTTTAATCATAATTTGGACTTACCTCAATAACAGCCAGTGTTCCATCTGCTAATCCAATGTATACATTCCTTGTTTGTGGATTGTAGACGATACTTAGAGGAGTGTCTCGTAACCTCTCAAACCAAAGCTCCTCCCTAAACAAAAATCAAATGCCATCAACAAAACTCTGCACAAATGTGCTAATCATCATGGTCACTTATCATTGACCTTTAGTCAATACATGTACCGGTACATGGTGCAACAAACAATTGCAGCAGGAATTGATCCTACCGTACCAGTGCTCTATCAACTGAGCTATTCACAGCAATGTTTGCAATGCTCCCAATCTGTCAATGTCTTTGCTCATGGGCACCAGTCAGGAGACATTAATAAATCGAATTTTGGCAGAGATCGTGCTTCAAGTCACAATGCTTGCAACATTCCTGAAAAGTAAGCAATAACACATGAAGCTAAGATAATCATCCTCAGGGCCCTGTATCCTCCGAGATTCTAGGCCAGATTTGGCAAGATTTTGGTGGACTGCAGACTGAACAAAAAAGTCTTAACAGGGTCTTAATGAGCAAATACTGCATAGCACGAGATTTTTAAGGATAAATACTTTTAACCAAACATACACAGTGAAAGGGATTATAATCAGGTTTCAAACAAATTATTAAAAATCAGCATAAATTTTGTTCATGAATTTCAAAATAAATCCAAGAACATGTAGTACACATTAAATTTATAGAAACATTACTCATCATAGAATTCTTTGGAGATATTTCCTGCCTATTCAATTATTCTTTTCAAGGTGTATCACATTTCTAGGATTATTCCATGACTGGATTTTTATCCTATGTTGTTTCTTTTTTCGTCTCTATGTGGGAGCCCCTGATAAGTCAATAGTTTAGCAACACAACTATATATACTTACTGAGTTCCGATACTGAATGCATACAAGAAATTTGAGACCGTTCCCAATAGTGCCATGTCAATGCCAGCCATGGTTAAACACACAATGCGGTTGTCCAACTAAACACAGAAGAAAAAACAATGAATGTGCGTTGATATCCACTAATTCCATCAGTTTGGCCAAATAATGTATTTATGATTTCACAGTACTGATTTATTTTTAGAAGACCCCCAGTTTTCAGCCGACCTGCCTGAGAATCCAGGCAGCACTGGATGTACAGTTTCGGACAATCCAGTGACTTTTCCATTAATCCTATGCACAAAATCCACACATTTTACTCATATTATGGTAGTGACAAATATTTGAATATTCAAAATATATGACCGATCATCCAAGATACAAAAATTTGTATTTTGTATTTGTTATTTTGTATATTGAAACCCTTTCTTTGTTTCTAATTTATTGCATTCTGGCAGTAGTCATCAATGAACATAATAAGCTCTTATAATGATTCCATACTAGTGCCATAATACAACTGACTCAGCCCAACTCATACAAGCTTATACAGTAACTTGTACCCTTATTCCATAGTTCTGTTTGATGCATTTGCCAATATCAACTCGTCCAACCCAACCCTGCCTCAACTCTCCACGGCAGACTAGTAAGTGACCTGCAAAGATAATGACAAAGCAAGGACTTTAATATGAGTTGTTGACTAATTGTCCTTGAGAGTCCATTGCAGGCACTGTACATGGAATTGAACTACTCAAAAGGCAAATACAGGATGTATTGCATGCACGCACTGCTTGGCTGCATGAATAGCACAGATTGTACACAACTAATTGTCATATGGATGTGTGCAGACCCTATTATCTTTGCCTGAGAGGAACACACCCAAATATGAGCGCACGATGGAAATGATTCTGTCAATAGCATTAACGGAGCTCTTTCACATATAATGTGCATTTCTGGGCTCTAAACCACATTTTCAACACGAGAATAGCTTCAGTATCATTAAAAAGTAGAATATACATGTAATACTCCACAAGACTACATCTTGAAAATGTGCAGATTTTGTGTCCAAGCGCATAATGAAATTTTGGATAACATTTGGTACTCAGAAATTGTGATCTGTCAATATTTTTTGTCAAGGTCTCTTCTGCGTATATGGGTAAGGTCTTCATATTCAAAAGTCATTGATATTGTATCCAACTATGGCAGATTTGATGTCTTCCATTGAGTTTATCAACATCTTCCTCCTAGACCTTAGGAAGGCTGCATGGAAGGTGGAATCATGCTCATACCTGAGTAGCACTCCACTGCACAATCCATCTTCAGATCCTGTACAAGACCGTCTTCCCCTTCACTTTGGAAGATGGGTGTGGCCGGCGCGAGACCTTCCTGTCTCTCAAACTCCTCCCTGGCTTTCTCCTGCTGCTCATAGACAGCTCGCAGGATGTTTATGTAGTGTTGCTGCTTTTGCTGGATCCAGGCCAAGGATGGGAAATTGTCGTTGCTGTCTCTAACAATCTACAAGGAATAAATGCACACACACACAAAGTTTTATGATGATAGTGATTGCTGAATGATATTTTGAGAAACTTGATGAAAATTTTTAGAGTACACCAATAAATAATGTAATGACACAGTCCCTGTATATGAAGACCTTAGTTGCAAAAGGGCTTATATCCATTTATATCAAAAATTAGTTTGAACCTGCAATGGTTAGGGTTTGACTAGGGCTACCAGGTAAAATAATCAATCTGTTCCAAAAGGGGTTTTCATACCACAGTAAAATCAGACTTTTGCCATGTAAAAGAACATAAATCCAATACAGTTTTTTGCATTTTTCTCTAAATTTGTCAAATATCTCGTAAGCCCTTTTGCAACTAAACTCTTCATATACAAAAAATGATTTGAAAGTAATGCTCATCAGGTCCTTCAAGCTAACTTCAGAAAAGTCTTAGATTCACGTCTTATTACATGAACCCAACTTCTGTTCTCTGTTCTCTGACTGTCAGTCATTGTTTTTTTTTTTGTGAAGGTGATAGTGATGTATTTCCTTGCTCATCACATTCATTTAATTATTTATGTTCAGGAGAAGGTAGAAATGGGTTCCTGGCTGCCCTGACCTGCAAATTTAAGTTGCAAAAGCACAAAGAAGAGGCCCATGAAAACTCTGCTGTCAGTGCTAATGGCACAACGGTACAGGATGAAGACCCAGACAACAGAACATTGACTGTAAGTAGGTACATGTACCATAAATGAACAATGTTTTTTCCCCAGAATCCAAGGTATGGGCTCCTGCATCTTCCCTCATTATTACGAGATGTATGAAGCTTCACCGCTTTGCGGGCACATTTTCGATTCACAGACGACCACACACATATTCACACACCGTCATGTTTTACTATACTTCTGGGACCCTTACTGTTCCCATCTTTTGTTGCCATAAGGTTTGTACACAAAAAGCTTTTGAGGATTGGGCCAAGGGTCATTGAGGTTATTGGCAATGTCCCAAGTCCTCAGTCATATTTAAATGATAACAGGATCAACCTTACGGATGGGGTTTAAGGGGTGCTTGCATTGTTCCCCTTTATCCCTGTTCTTTACAATTTCTCTTGTGGGGTATGGTCAGACAAAGACCAACATTTAGGGTACTATTGTTCCCTTGTGTGAGTACCCCACAAGTACCCTCTTGTAAAAACACAGTACAGCAGTGATTATAATATGAAACTCAGTCCAAAAAGTTGACGTAAAGCTGTGCATTATAGCACAGCACAAAATGTGTTTACCATTTCCCAGTAGTAGGGTTGTGCGGTTAGCAATGTCATAGGCCCTGTATGTAAGTCCCTTGTTTTGCCATGTGCTTTTTAGGTATACATAGGCCACAAAAGTGAATCCTTTTCTGTCTGTCTAAAATGGACCAAGCTTCACTTTTTCTAGATAAGACATTTTAAATGAGTTCACAGAAATACACATGCACATCAGAGAGTAACCAGACTCCAACCAGTCTCAAACATCATCATTAAACATAGTGTTAAATACTGGCCAAGCACAAATTTATTCCCATTTATAAATAACTTTTCGGTCAAAAAATCAAAACTTTTCGGTCCAAAAGTCAAAACAATGCAAAAATTATAAATTTCCAACGATTTGGTTCAACAAGTTTACTTGATGTTTTTTTAAACACCCCTCTTGCTATATTATGGTATGTCCATGTCATAAACACCTCCTTATATGGAGATTGGCGCTGCGTGATGTGGCGCAGAATGCAGCTGTATCGGTGTACTATGAATTAAGAATGACTATGAAATACTGACTCACTGGTTGTATTGCGCATGCCTACGTGAGTATTGTGAGCGTTCAACTAATAAAACGGTAACTAAAAAGCACCGGATTTCATAGGATTTCAAATTTCATGTGACACTCGAAAACTGTTTTAAGACCAGAAAACCGGCCACGTGACAGGCTCTCGACCATTAGGAATGGGTAAACTGTCTTGGGTATTTATGAATATGACATGAAATGATGCTATTATAAGATGGAATTTTGCGTTGGGGTGATATAAATCAAATTAGGTTTTGCCCTTCATGAAATGATGCTAGAATAGGGTAGTCTGAAAAGTCCAAAAGAAAAATATGGAATGTGTATGGGTACAGGGGGAGGGGGTGGAAACACAATGCCAGGCATACGGGGGGGGGGGGGGGGGTCCTAAAAAGTACTGCATGTACAGCCC